CAATGCTGAATACCACCAGCTATAGAGGACTACAAAACCCAGCAACAGTACATTATACAGCGCAATGCAGAATCCCGCCAGCTATTATGTACTATTGCTGGGATTTGTTGTATTCCTCTATAGCTGGTGGTATTCTGCATTGTGCTGTATAATGTACTATTGCTGGGTTTTTGTACCACCAGAGTACAACAAATCCCAGCAATACATTATACATACAGTGTATAATGTATTGCTGGGATTTGTATTCCTATGTATAATTTACAGCACAATGTACCATCAGCTATAGAGGAATACAAATCCAAGCAATACATTACAGATCACCACGTTTGGAAAAGTGCAGGCTTACCTGAGCAGTCTTCCAGCAACTTGCTTCTGAGATCGGACCTGTCTGTCTATCACCCCACACCTGCTCCTCCTTACTACATCTCCCCGCGTCCCTGTGCCGATCGTGGGTGGGCGGTGAGTGTGAGGCCGGGAGGAGGTGCGGCGTGTGGATGCGGGCGGGCGGGTCTGGCAGAGGTGGGGAGGAGGTGCGAAGCACAGCTGTGAACAGGGCCAACTGATCGGAAGCCGATTAATCGATTATTGAAAAAGTTGACAACTTTTTCAATAATCGATTATAATCGATTATGCCGATTAGTTGTTGCAGCCCTAGATAAGCCCCCCTCAATCCGGCATGCCTCAGTTTGTAGCAGTACTGAGAGCATGGTTCTCTCAATGGAGTCATTGCAAGCAGTACCGAGAGCATGGTTCCCTCAATGGAGTCAATGCAAGTAGTACCAAGAGCATGGTTCTCTCAATGGAGTCAATGCAAGCAGTACCAAGAGCATGGTTCCCTCAATGGAGTCAATGCAAGCAGTACCAAGAGCATGGCTCTCTCAATGGAGTCAATTCAAGCAGTATCAAGAGCATGGTTCCCTCAATGGAGTCAATGCAAGCATTACTAAGAGCATGGTTCCCTCAATGGAGTCAATGCAAGCATTACTAAGAGCATGGTTCCCTCAGTGGAGTCAATAAGTCCTCATTGGACTCCAGCAAAAGGAATTTAACAGTGAGTACAAAATCCTTATCTTCTTTTGTGCCCATTAATGGACACAGGACGTCACATACTGTTGGGACATCAAAAATAAGTCCAACTGATTGGTGGGCAAACAGCAACCACTGCTAAGAAGCCCAACAAAAAAACAGAACTGGGGACTGCCTGCAGCCCCCGAGCCAGCTGAAGGGCCAACGCATGAATCGTACAACGGATGCGTCAGGAGAAGCAACCTGATGCCCAAGATGAAGAAAAAAAATGGTCACCAACCACAGAGGAATGACTCAACATGGAAGGGTGCACTGAACCATGGACCAAGCAAGAAGCTGGTCAACAGAAACCCACCAAAATAAATGGAACAAACAATAATTTCCCATTAGGGGAAGAAAAAAACCCACAACATGATGTGGCCAACAAGGAAAGGGAGCAAGCTCATATTTGGAACCAGTACCAGACAAGGAACCTGGAAAAAAGTGCTAGTAAAAGTGAGACAAGCCAGTCCAAGTAGAAAGGCCCTAAGCCACTACTCAGCTGAGCCCATAAAGGCCACAAAATGAGAATTCCATGAGAGTTCTAATTTCGAGAGAGATTTTCAGAACACAAGATTGAAGAAAATAGGTCACCAGCACTCCATAAGTTAAAATGAATGAGTCCTTTTAATGGACAATGATGTCACAGAAATCCAACATGAGCCGACGTTTCGGGGCCACACAGGGTCCCTTCTTCAAGGCAAGAGATGTGACCGTAAACGTCGCTCATGTTGGATTTCTGTGACATTATTGTCCATTAAAAGGACTCATTCATTTTAACTTATGGAGTGCTGGTGACCTATTTTCTTCAATCTTGTGTTTTGCACGGTGCCATCCGTGAAGTTACTTCGAGCACCATTTATTTGATTGTTGGCCGGGACTGCTGAAAGGTGTGCGGAGGGCACCTCCATCAATTGCATCAGATTTTCAGAACAGACATTTACCTGCAAAGGGTGAGTCCACCAGAGAGCCCAGGATTCGATCCCACAAAGTCAGCATGACTGAAGGGGTAAGGTGCTTGGAAGAATCCCAACAAGGGTAGGCAGAAGATGGAAGTTAGAACCTAACCATAATCTGGTGAAATGGATTGCAACGCGGAAGGAACCAAAGATGAAAAACACACCAAAAAAAAAAACAGGCTAAACCCACTCTCACCAGTACGCAAGAGACACATCTGAGGTGATCCCTAAGAGAGATCCTGCTGGAAAAAAAACAATCCAGCTTATCTTTGACTTCATGAATTATCCTGACTCCCAAATCCAATGAAGCAGCAGTGGAACAAGGGACATGAGTCTTATTAGGACAGTAAAAAATATTGACCTGCTCCTAGTTCACTGAGCAAGTCAGGGGGTCCCAATGGAGCAGGAGATACATGACACCGAGGGGTACCAGATACCACTGATGATCGTGCATGCCCCAAGGAAAAAGAGGTTGGTGGCCAGGATGGGACACAGTTCCAGAGGCCGAGATGACACAAGAACTAGAGTGAGAACCTCAGAATTGAGGAGAACCAGGAGAAGGTCTGTCAATCTGTGGGGTGGCCCAGGGGAGTAGAGGGCTAAAGATGAGGGGTGAACCTAAGTGGGCACTTTCTGCGCCCGAATGCCTGAACGGCAAATTACGCAAAGACCTGCAAATGATTAGTGACCACCCCCCCACTTTGAAAAGCGGTGGCACACCTTATGCTGAAGACTTCTCTGGGGGCCTTGCAGGTTCCTTACTCCTAGCCCTGTGGCTTGCCGGGGGAAATTACTTTAGCGGGTCTAAGTGTGCAAAGCAGGAGCGGCTGAGGGACAATGTTTCCTTGGCCCTGAATGGCGGGTACAAGAGCATGGAGTGTGCACACTGCACTCCACCCAGTGGATGACATCAACTCTCAGCGTTAATCCTTTCTGTGGTCAAACCAGTTCAAAATTCAAAAGGCCCGAGCAGTGCAAATAATGAGGTAGCTCCCCGTGATCAGCCTGACTGGCTAACTCACAGAGTGAGTCTTCAGGGACAAGGCAAGTGCAGAGGCAATGAAAGCATCTCCACCACTAACTTCTCACCTGAATGGGGTCTGAATTGTGCCTATGCAGAACATAGTGCCCAAAGGTCCCTTCCAGGCCGGCCCCACAACGTCCAGTCAAAAGGAGTCTAAGCACAGCACTCCAAAGCTAAGCTGGGGAAAGCCCAATCCAGACGGCTGCCATGTAGAGTCAAGCTTAAGCGGATCGATTGAAGAGAAGTAGATGCAAATCGAAGAAAAGCTCAAAGATAGTTAGACTTTTCCCAGCAGAGGTGAAGAAAAGATGTCCATCCTCCTAGGACACTAGCAAAAAACTATACTTTAGATATACTGAAAAGTGAAAAGTAGAAATCACCAGCGCTCAATAAATATCGTTGATGGCCATTCAATCGGACCAGTCGTCAGTGGGGATCATCAGGGCGACAATGTAACATTGTCGCCCTGATGAAGGGACCCTGTGAGGCCCCGAAACGTTGGTTTTGTCTGTGACGACTGGTCCGATTGAATGGCCATCAACGATATTTATTGAGTGCTGGTGTTTTCTACTTTTCACTGTTGATTTGCACCGTGCCATCCATGATTGTCACTGCGAGCACCACTATACCACTATTGCTGCTTGGGCCGGGAGCCCTGTGAGGAGTGCAGAGGGACTCACCATCTCCTAGGCTTTAGATATACTTCACAAGAAATCGATGGACTGAAGCCACATTAAGGCCCGGATTTACCACAAAGCCACCGGGGGTGCAGAGCGGCAGCAGCGGTGACCTTGTGGGGAAGTTGCGGGCGCCGGTGCAAGGTGTCCACCGGCCGGCGGCCGTACACTACGGTCCGCCGCCGTCCAATCACGACGGGGCGGCCCGAGGCTCCGCCCACCGGCTCCGTAGTGTGCGGCCGCCGGCCAATCACGGCGCGGCTGGCCGCAACTCCTCCCCCCAGCTGTCAGATACTTCCTCCGGCGTCCTGTTAATGTGGATTGACGCCGGAGGAAGTAGCTGTCTACCTTGCTATCACACAGGGGCTT